TTTTATTTGTTACTTTTAAGACAAAAAGCAAACTGTTTTAGTATTCAAACTCGGTACTTTCAAAAGATTTATACAGATTTTTAATATATATTTTATGTGGTTTATACTTTCATTTTGAATCAAACTAATTTTTTGTATTTCAAAAAATATTTGAATTCATCTTTTACCATTAATAGTAACTATTAACACTAGTAGCACCCGATGTTATATATCACTAAACTTACCGCGTAACACTTTTCGATCAGAAGCGAAATGAAAAAGTGGACTAACTAGTTGAAAATTACTTGATGTCACATTTTTCTACGTCAGACATGACAAAGTAATTCCTACGTGAAGGAAATTAGTGAGCCCCGTTCATGTTTGCAAATGGCAGGTTGAAGATTACTTATGGTGGGTGGATGGACAATATCAAGTTTTCCTTTTTCTAGACCTCTTCAAACAAAATGTCTTATTGGGTGTAATGAGAATTGAGTGTTTTATTTTGTGTGTGGGAAGAAGAAAAGTGAAAGAAGATGAGAGAAAATGTTGTGAAATAAAGAAGACTCAGTACTAATAGTATGAGCATGGAGTAGGTGAGGCACGTTTATGGTTTTGTATTGTTTCATGATATTGTTAACGGTGAAATATGGAGTAAAGATGAGGAAGAAACGAGAAACAAATAGAGAGGAGGAGAGAAAGGAGGGAAGAGAGACAGAAGATGAGGTATTTACTGATTCTTTGGTTGTTTTGAAATAGTTTAAATATAAAAGCTCAAATCTCTATCCGAGATTTCGAACGTATAATGAGGTAAACAATACTAAAATTTATTATTTAGTGGAAGTAATTAAAATTTGAATGTTATACTCCTTGCATGTTTACTTAGAATGCCTAAATAGAGGTTATGGGAATGTCTCTTAAATGATTGATAAGAATGAGTGAGCTACACTAACTCAGTAAGAATATCAATGTCTTATCGCTAACACGAAAAATTAAAAGGTTTTAGAAAACATAAAACAAACAATGAAACTCATTTCTTATGAAAACTCGAATGCTAGTGCATTCATTATTCGTTTAACTGAAAATGCTAGTATTTTCTCGACTAACTTGTAACTTCTCAAAAGTCATTCATTGAGATAAAAATCAAAATAACGATCTAACAGCATACATTTTAATACACATATAACGTTCGACTCTTCACATCTTTTTCAAGTCGGATTTCTTACCATGTTCATCTTTACTCTATCATTTTACTTTTTTCTACCGATATAGTTATGGGTCCATAGGGATCCCCACTATACGTGGATACGAATATTTTCTTTGTAATCAAACGGCCGTCCCCATACCCGATTTGATAATGGGTATCACAATAAACAATCGTCTCAATACCCCGTCTAGTATGAACGACACTTATAAACTCCCAACTCCTTCGGGTATAGAACTTCCCAACCCCGTATGGCTAAAGGTAATGTCCACATTATGCACTTTATCCACCAAGTTCGTTCACTTTTTTTCATA